TGAAAGACATCAGTCATTCAAGAGAATGTCAATGAAAGATATAAATAGAGCATATGTGTATTAGTGCCCAGAATTTTTATAAGTGCATAGAAATTTTGAGGTTCACTACCTATATTAGAATCTTAATTCAGTCACAAATTCTGTGACCTTGGGTAGATTTGCTATATGTATCCTACAGTCTAGGAATCCTACTCATGCTGAGCACATGTGCGTGCATGCACAAAATCCCTAGAGGAGAATGGGAAAGAATTGATTGTGGTGCATGCACACTATACCAAAAATCTCTACAGATTTCATGTTTGTTACGATTTGTTTCCCTTTCTGTTTTTTTTTTTTTTTTTGGGGAGATTTTCAGGGGAGGGGGCGTGCGCGCGCCAGACAGAGAGAGACAGAGAGACAGAAAGCGAGAAATCACCCCGCCACAATCCCTTCTCCTCCATTCTCCTCTCGGGATCTTGGGCACACACGCACACGTGCCCGGCATGAGTTTTAAGCCACCGAGTCCGAGACGCGAACCGCGGTGGACTACGTGGTAGTCCAGCGACATAGCCATTACACTAACTGCTGGTTCCCGTTTGTTTTTGAGAAGTTTTTGCTATAGGGCGCATGAGCTTGCCAGAAAAATAGAAACAGGAAGCGAAAAATCACCCCCCAGGGGAGTCACTCCTCAGGGAGGAGAGCCATGCCGCAATCCCTTCTCCTTCATCCTCCTCTCGGGATCTTATGGGCACGCACGCACACACACCCGGCATGAGTTTAAACGACCAGGTCCAAGACTTGAACCATGGTTGTTGACTACATGGCAGTCCAGCGACATAGCCGTTACGCCAACTACTTGTCCCAATTTTAGTGTTTTTTTTTTGTTTGTTTGTTTGTTTTTAATTATCAGAGGGCATGTGCACTGGCCAGAGAAGGAGACAGAGAGAGAGGGAAAGGGAGAGAAAGAAATCACCCTCCAATGTGATGTAGTCGTGCCACAGTCCCTTCTCCATTTCTTCATCTTGTTGGGATTTGGGGCACACATGTACATGTGCTCAACATGATTTTCTTTTTCTTTAAAACAGTTTTAGCAGAGAGTGCACGTGCTTGGTGCAGAGAGACCGGGGGAGAGATCGTGAGAAAGCACTCCCCTCCACCATGGGGAATGGTCAAGCTACAATCTCTTTTTCATTTCTCCTTCCTTTTTGGGATTTTGGGCCCACACACAGTTGCATCTGGAAGGTTTCTCAAGCTGCCATGTCTGGGACTTGAAACTGTGCAGTTGGCCATGTGGGATCCAACTTTTTTTTTTTGGAGAGGTTTTTGCTATAGGGCGCGTGTGCTTGCCTGACAGAGAGAAACAGAGAGACAGAAAGTGAGAAATTACCCCCCGGGGGGATGGCCATGCCACAATCTCTTCTCCTCCATTCTCCTCTCGGGATTTTGGGCTCACACGCACACATGCCCGGTGTGAGTTTTAAGCCACTGGGTCCGGGACGCGAACCGCAGTTGACTATGTGGGAGTCCAGCAACATAGCCATTACGCTAACTGCTGGTCCCCCAACTATTTTTTTTAAAGAATTATTTTATTTAACTTTATTTACTTATTTTTTAATTTGACCAGAGAGGGATAGAGAGAGAAAGAGAGAGAGCAAGCTGTCATGTCCAGTATTTGGACCGTGGTCAGCCATGTGGGAGTCCAGCACCCCTAACCACCACACCTGCTGGCCCCATGGGATCGGGCTATTTTAATAATCATATCATGGACTGGCCCCTGGTATGTTTTTCAAGTCATGGGGGCCAGGATTCAAACCACTGTTGCTCATGTGAGGTTGAGTTCCCTTTACTACCAGAGTACAGGCCAACCCTCTCTGTCTTTTTTTCCCAGAGGATGCAGTTAGCAACTGCAACCACTGGATGGCGTAAAATCACAAGATTTTAGCCAAAGTTCCTGCATTATAGCCCAATGCACACTTGTCCCACTGCACTAACTGAAGGAAGTTTTGGTAGAATACAACTTTGGGGACTTTAAATTTGACTATTGACATGGATTCAGGTTCCTTAGATATTCAAACTAAGAGAGATTTTTAGTCTTGAATGACTTGCATGTCAAGTCACTAAATAAGGGAAAGAAAAAAGTTGCAATAATGAGGAGGAAGAAATAGAAAAGGAGAGAAAGAAATCTAAGAGAAAATAATGTAAGTTGAGAGAGATGAATTTAAGTGTTAGCTACACTTACAGTATGGACTCTCATTGGTTTTGTATTTAGGGCCCTAAGGGCCTAAGTCATGCTCTTCTAACACTTTCTACCTGCCACCTTTACTGTCACTTCTCTGTCTTAAATAACCTTCTTCCTTTCTGGATTATGGGCTCTTCCTCTTTTTCTTACCTATTGTCATCCAAGTTTTTATTCTTCACCTTTCTTTTGAATAAGCTTAGGTGGGAGGATTTCTGGCTCCTTGTTATAATTGCCAGATAACAATACACATAGCATTTCTTCCTTAGAAATGACTAGTTTGGGACATGAGCATAGGAAAAATATTCTAGGTCAGAATCTGCTGGAAGGTATAGGGAAGAGGAGGAAAGAATGTTTAGGGCCAGTCCCACTCCTAAGCCCACCTTCATACTAGCCTAGGGATGCAGAAAGGGAAGGATGCTAATGGCTTGCTCAGGCGTTTTAGGGACCCAAAGTCGTAGTCAGTTTGATTTTTGAGAACATACCTTTAGTATGTCTAAAAAAATTTAGAAATGGCAAAATAGATGTAAAATTGTATATTTTGAGTATGTGTGTTGTTTTTAATTCTCCAGAGGACACGTGTGCTTGCTGGAGAGAAACAGAGAGCGAGAGAGAGAGAAAACATTTCTCATGGGACATGGTCACGCTTGCAGTGAGAGACAGAGAAAGCATTTCTCATGGGACATGGTCACGCTTGCAGTCCCTTCTCCTCCATTTCTTTCTCCTTTCAGGATTTTGGGCATGATTGCACATGTACCTGATGTCAGATTTTCTAAGCTTCCTGGTTCCAGGACTCAAACCATACAATTGACCATGTGGTATCCAGTGGTCTTAACCATCAGGTCATGGGTTGACCCATTTTGAATGTTTATGTTTAAGAAAATAATGCTTGGGGGGGCTAGCAGGTGGTGTGGTGGTTAGGACACTGGACTCCCACATGGCTGACTGGTTTGAGTCCTGGACCTGGTGGTTTGAAATTCATTTTGGGCATGTGTGCGTGCATGCCCAAAATCCTGAGAGTAGAATGGAGGAGAAGGGATTGCGGCGTGGCCATCCCTCTTGGGGTGGGGGTGATTTCTCACTTTCTCTTTGTTTCACAGGTGAGCACACACACCCTACAGCAAAAATCTTTCTTAAAATACAAAATTGTTTAAGTGAGATTTTTGTGAATGTGCGTCTTTGCCCTAAACAATTACCTATTTTTATCTTTGGGTCTATGAAAAAGTATTGGGGTAACAAAGAGGCTTCAAAGAGGTGGAATGACTTTGAATCCTGGGACCAGCAGTTAGCGTAATGGCTATGTTGCTGGACTCCCACGTAGTCGATCACGGTTCATGTCCCAGACCCGGTGGCTTAAAACTCACGCCGGGCACGTGTGCGTGTGTGCCCAAGATCCCGAGAGGAGAATGGAGGGGAAGGGAGTGCGGTGTGTCCATCCCCACGGGGGGGTGATTTCTCGCTTTTTGTCTCTCTGTCTCTCTCTGTCTAGCGAGCACACGTGCCCTATAGCAAAAAAAAAAAAAAAAGAATGACTTTCAATCCTAAGACTTGAATATAAACACAATTGAGTAATTGTATCAACTGTAAATATGGTAATATATTCTCCAAAAAGGGAGGAAGGTTCAGAATGGTACGAAGAGTATGATATTGGATATTATATATCTATTTTAATGTCTGTAAAGAAATTTATCAGTGTTCACAATGGTTATCTCTGGAAGGAGGAATTAGGTATAACTTCTATTTTTTATTTCTCCATATATTTTACAATATTTTAAAAAGTTGTTGTGATAATATACTTTGATCATTTAAAAAATGCCATATTAGAAATAATTTGCATCAGAAACATTGCACTTTGCTGAGGAATAATTGACACTCCCACAGATACAGTGTTTTATTATGTCTATAACCTAGTTTATCATGGTGACACCAAAAATTGTGCATTTGTGAAGTGATCTGCAGATTGATATCTACATCCCAAAGTCCATAGGAGTTCTCCCTTCTCCTCTGTCATCTTTTAATTTTCAAAAATCTCCACTGGTAAGGGAATATAGGGCTCAAAGTTGTTAACTGATTAGGAAGTCAAAATCCTCACTTTTGCTTTGTCAGGGGAAGCAAATTGTCCCTAAATCAAAACACACAGTTTTGATTCTGTCAGTGAACTTCTGCAAAGGAAGATAGTATAAATGTTACCCAAATTATACTCTTGCAGAAAAGTTGATGGCTGTAAAGATTTCGCCACAGGTTTCATCTTCTAGGACATAGGGACTTCTCTGGTGGATGAGGCTAGGAAGGGTGGGGATGAATATGGACATTAATCCTGGACCTAGAGCTTCTAAGTGCATACATAATGCTTTTAATCCTTGCTAGAGATCCTGGGAAAGAACAGGCATTCCCTCCGTATTTTGTCATTGAACTAAGCCACGGATGGCAGGATAACTTGAGGCAATGTTGTGAATCAGTGGAAGGGTGCAACTATATACTCATTTATCCAAATGCCAATCTCAGTGTTCTGTCCTCTATCTACTATATATTCAAATTGTGCTCTATGGAACGTCAGAGGTTCGTTAGGGCTTCCTTGAAACCTGCCATCCATGCTTTGTATCTGTTCCATCTCTTTCAGGCTTAACATGAATATTAACTCAAGTCTTATGATGAGATATTCCCCTGTTGGTATAGTTTCAAGAATCATTTTTTAATTTTTTGGATGGTACTTGAAGCAAAAGAAATGTATAATTCATGGTTTTTGTTTTTTGTTTTTTTACAAGAAATAAGAAAACAGAATTACTTAAAAGCAGACACATTTCACCAAAATAAATGGAATGATTTCACTCTTCTGAAAAGGAGCACACACCTTTTGCCATTCTTTTTCACGAAAACAGTCCTTCAAGATCACCTGTTCCCACTTTCTCACCAAATTCTTATTTAAGCAGGCCAGACTCAACTCATTGCTATACCCATGTGACAAAGATCATCGTCATAATCATTGGGATCTAGAATACTGCTCCATAATGTATGCTGCTTACCCACGAAGTAGGGTGCAATGTCAGTACCAGCCTGCAAATTCTGGATTCAGGAGACTTCACTCGAATACTGTTTGTCTGTTGTCCCTAAGCCCCTTGGGGATGACTTAGGAGGAGGACTTCTGGGATGCTTAGTGTCCAGGTCCCTTTACCAGTGTGTCGATATCTACATGTAGTGGAAGAGGCTAAATTGTTAAACCGTATGAATGTGAAGCTGGGAGAGCAGAAACCCCACTGTAAGCCAGTCAAGAGCCAGTGGGCATGACGTCAGCTGTGAGGCTAGCGGAGGAGTTGGGAGCTGTGCCACACTAACAGCTGCCTTGCCCATTTTCTTGTAGGCTGTGTTTATGTCTTTTGTCAAAAAGAGCAATAAGGTCCATTCACAGTGCTTGGAGAGAAAGCTTTTTGTTTTCCCTTAGTGGCATGGGAAGATACCCACATTTATGGATGTACAAAGTGGATTACAGAGGCTCGAAGCTGCGTCAGTAGCAGTGGCATAATAGTAACCCTGCTGAGCCAGGTACTCCCTTCATTGGCCTGGTATTACTGTCTGATTGAAATGTCTCTGCTGAAGACAGGAGTGTAAAACGCAAGGTCTGTCCATATCAATTCTTAATAGGGAAAAGAAAGTGCAGTATAATTCATTCAATGTGTGAGGCAAAGCAGAACTTTTCAGAAGTGTGTCTGGTGGATAATAGTGATCCCTGCAGCATTCTTTGGGTTTGATGAGTTGGGAGCATCTTGTCCAACCTAGAGATGTAAAAGAAATGTGAAAGATAAAAAAGCATGAAAATGGCTATCTCTTCATGTGCCAACAAAAGGATAGCTAAGTACAAAACTCCACGTAAGTCCAGGTACACTCTACTTTGCCTCTGTTACTCAGTAATCACACTAAGAGAGTACGGGCGTGGTGCACTTACACATGAGAGCCTCCAATCGGCTGAAACCTATAACCCACGAGCACAAGGCCTGTGCACCCTTTGCTTGACCTACATGCCTTGAATGGAAAAGGCCCTGAGTGTGCAGCAAGTCTGGGTCCAGAAGCACAGGGATTCTACTTCATCCCTAGAACCAGACCTAAAAACTCATCAGGTTTTTGAAAGAGGCAGAGATTTGTGTCTACATGGACCAATTATTTCCAGTAATCCCATTCCAGTCTCCCTACGTGTGACTCCATGCTACATTTAATTTTATATGTACCTAAATGTTTAACTGTTAGGGATATCATTGTGATTTTATTTATTTATTTTTTTTGGTCAGTGCTTTTTCCTTTTTTTTTTTTTTTTTTGTTATAGGGCGCATGCACTCGCCAGAAAGAAAGACAGAAAGCAGGAAATCATACCCTCCCCCAGGGGGGTGGCCATGTCGCAATCCCTTCTCCATTCTCCTCTTGGGATTTTAGGCATTCATGCACACATGCCTGGCATGAGTTCAAGCTACCAGATCTGGGACTTGAACCACGGTTGACTATATGGGAGTCCAGCGACATAGCCATTACACTAACTGCTGACCCCTCATTTTTTTTTTTAAGAATTATTTTATTTAACTTTATTTATTTATTTGTTTTAATTTGACTGGAGAGGAAGGGAGGCAGAGAGGAAGAAAAAGAGAGAGAAAGTGAGAAAGCAAGCCACTAGGTCCAGGACTTGAACTGCAATCGGCCATGTGGGAGTCCAGCACCCTTAACCACCATGCCATCTGCTGGCCCCTGGTCAGTGTTTTTTCTTCCCAATTAGATTTTTAGCATATTTTTCCAAATTATTTATTTTATTTTATTTATTATCATCATTATTATTATTATTTTTTAATTTGTTATAGGGCATGCTCACCAGAAAAAGACAAGAGGGAAAGTGAGAAAGCAGGCTACCAGGTCTGGGACTTGAACTGTGGTCCACCATGTGTGGGAGAACAGCACCCTAATCTCTGTGCCATCTGTTTGCCCCAGATTTTAGCATCTTGAAGGCAGGAACATAGCACATTGATTTTCAGTAAATTTTGTGGAACAGATAAATGAGCCAAAAAATATCAATATAGGAATTAAAAGATCTAGATTCTAGTTCTGCATGTGTGTGCATGCCCAAAACCCCACAGGAAGGAGAAATGGAGGAGAAGGGATTGTAATTTGACCATCCTTCCTGGGGGATGTTTTCTCCTCTCCCTCCTTCTTTTGAGGGTGCACATACCTCTACCACACACACACATACACACACACACACACACACACACACATATACACATATATATTGGGTTGTCAAAAAAAATCACAGCAAGTTTTTCTTTTTCCTTTTTTTTTTTGCGAGATTTTTGCTATAAGGTGAAAGTCAAATCATCCCTCCCAGGGGGGCTAGCCATGCCACAATCCCTTCTCCTCTCAGGATTTTGGGCACACATGCATTCATGCCCAACGTGAGTTTAAAGCTGCCAGGTCTGAGATTTGAACTACAGTCGACTATGTGGGAGTCCAGCAACATAACCATTATGCAATCTGCTCATCTCTATGACATGTTTTTCTGTGCAAAAATGTGTCATTACTTTTCTAACAACCTTGTGTGTGTGTGTGTGTGTGTGTGTGTGTGTGTGTATTAACCTGTGCCAGAGAAGACAAATTGGCAGTGAGTGCCTGGAGCACTATTGCCAGGCTTGGCTGGAAAATATGCTATGGTAGGGGGTGGCAGGTGGCATGGTGGTTAAGGCACTGGACTCTCACATGGCCGACCACGGTTCAAGTCTTGGACCTTTTAGCTTGCTTTCTCACTTTCTCTCTCTCTGTGTTCCTTTCTTGTCAAATTAAAAAATAATAAATAATGAAAATAAATAATTCTATTTTTTAAAAAAGAAAGTTTGCTGTGCTTGATTATTGATATGTGCAGTTGACTCAGAATTAATTAAAGAATGGTCACATGTATTGGTCTACCCTGGACCAGATCATCTTTGAGACCCATTCTAAATGTAGTGATTCTGCAAAAGTAGACATCTTTCATTTAATTGCTAAAGTATTGGTAAACCTTGTCTCTTTGTTTTAATGATTGTTATGGATATTTTAGAGAAGGTCACGTCAATTTCTAGTATTCAAAGGCCAATTTCTAGTATTCCTGGTGAGGAAATTGGATTTCAAGCAGCTTGGTGGAGCCAACTGGTGGCATGGTGAGTAAGGTGGCTGGATCCCACATGGCCAACTGCACAGTTTGAATAGTGGACCTAGAGGCTTGAAAAACATCCAGGTGCTTGTGCATGTATATCCAAAGTCACAAAGAAGAATTGGAGGAGAAGGGATTGTGATGTGACCATCCCCATGAGGGGTGATTTCTTGCTCCCCCTACTCCATGTCTCTCTCCAGTGAGCACACATGCCCTCTGGAAAATTTCAAAAAAAGAAAGAAAAAATCTACCTTTAAAGCAGCCATGCTCAGCCAGTGGTGTAATGTCTGTCTCAGATATAAAAGAGCACTAATTGTTTATAATCTTGTCAGGAAACCCAAGGTCAGGGAAAGGGAAAGTTACTTTACCAGGTCCTCCATCTGTGTTCAAGTGCAGTGGTTCCTAAATTCCTAAACTTTGTTGTATGTAAGAGTTGCCTGGGATCAGGGATGATGAATACAGAGAGCGTGGTTCTGAAGCTTACAATTTCAGGGAAACTTTTTTTTTTTTTGCCTCTATGGTGCATGTGTTCCTCAGAGAGAGACAAAGACAGAGGCAGAGACAGACAGGTGAGAAATCGCCTCTTGAGAGGATAGCCATGCTGCCATCCGTCCTTTTCCAGTCTCCTCTTGGGACCCTGGGCATGCCCATACACACTCAGTGTGTTTCTCAGATTGTCAGTCCAGGACACAAATCTCAGAGTCAGCCATGTGGGATCCAGCCACCTAACCTCTTTGCCACCTGCTGACCCTCAGGGAACTTTCTTAAAGAAAAAGAATTCAGATTTTTAAAATATAAAATTGGGACCTGCCTGTGGCCTGGTAGTTAAGGCAGCTGGATCCCACATGGCTGACTGCAGTTTGGATCCTGTACCTGGCAGCTTGAAAAACACGTTATACACATGCGTTCCAAAAATCCCAAAAGGAGGAAGGGACGGAGGAGCAGGCATTGTGATCACCATTCCCCTTGAGAAGTGCTTTCTTCTCTCCCTCTTTCTTCGTCTCTGGCAAGCTCAAGTATCTTCCAGACCGCCCCCCCCCAAAAAAAAAAGATTCTGACCCCAGTCTAGACATTTATTATTATTATTATTATTATAGAAAAATTTTTGCTATAGCATGTGCGCACTGGAGAGGCAGAGGCACAAAGTAAGAAGTCAACCCCCCTCCCCCGGGGGAATGGCCACGAGCAATCCCTTCTCCTCCATTCTCCTCTTGGGATCTTGGGCATGCATGCACATGTGCACAGCATGAGTTTAAGCCACCGGGTCTGGGACTTGAACCACAGTCAGCTTTGTAGGAATCCCAGTAACATAACCATTACTCCATCTGCTGGTCCCATAGACATTCTGATTCATTGTATCTAGGACCCCCAGAATATATATGTATATTTCAGTATGCAGTCTGTTGTGTTATGGCTGGTTAATGTTAGGGAAACCATAGTACTAGTACCTATCTATTTTTTGACACATAAAAGAACTACTCACATTTGCTTCATAATTGAAGCAGCTTCCTGTCACCCACCGCTTACATATTAGCCCCATTTTCTCTAAGCAAGTGACAGAAATCAAATAGAGAATACTTTCCTTCTTGGGCTGAGAGTCAAGCTGGGATTCTGGTATCTCAGGTTGTTGGTCTCCTTTCTTTTGCTTTCTACACAACCTCTGGCATTGGCACAGCTGTCTGGCTCTATGACATCGACTCTGAAGGAAGAAAAGGACTGATATTAACCTCAGGTGTTTGGTATGCATTTGGTTTGTTTCCAAACCTCATGTCAGGTCATTTAAGGAAATCTCTTGTAAAGGAAAGCTACTGTTCTGCTGGATCTATCCTTCCTGGAGAATTTCCAAGCACGGCATGGGAAAGGAACTCACTCACATTAAATGAATACCTCCTATAGGCCAGGCACCTTCCACACAGAATCTCAATGAATTTACATCATCACCGTGAGAGACAAATATCTTGAGTCCCATTTTAAAGATGAGGCAACTGCAGAAGAAGTCAAACAGCTTTCCCAAAACCACTCAGCTATGGAATGTAAGTGCAGATCTATCTGAACTCCAAAGTCTGCTTTTCTCATTATGCCAAGCTGCCCCCAGAACACAAGGAAGTCTTTATAGATCAAGTGCGAGGACTGAACATACCAGCAAACTTACAGGGCATGGAACTTCAAAAATGACAAATACTGTAATGGCGACTCCACTCAACAACAGGGTGACAGCAATCAGAGATTTGACCACAATACTCCATTTCCTCCTCTTCTCTAGGTTCTCATCTGTTTCTGAAAGGAGAGGAATGAAAGAGGGAGGAAAGAGAATTTGAGAGAGGGAAGAAATAGACCCTTTGACTTGAAATTCTCCTGGCTCACAAGATTAACAGGGCAGCCTGACTCAGAGGCAGAGACTGGCTGAATTTCTAGTTCTGCCCAGGTCTAGGATGGGATTGAAATCATAGCTCTGTTCTCACCTCTTTTGTAATCTTTACTCATTGAGTCACCTTTGAAGGGATTTAGGCTTTCTATAATCAGGTGGGGCTAATTCTTGGAGGATAAAATGTTTGGGTGCATAAGGAGTTATATACTTACCTTTTTAATTATTATTTTAACCAGCCTTCTCAGAGTCCCTGTCCTTCTGTTTTAATATATTGTATGGGGCTAGAAAGTCACCTTTCCTGTGTTCCTCTTGGTTTTAGTGGGGTAAAGGAGGAACAGAGGTTGGGTACGCACATGCACCTGGCATGTTTTTCAAGCTGCCAAGTCTAGGACTCAAACTGCGTAGTTGATCATGTGGGATCCAGCCGCCTTAACTATTATGCCACTAGTTGGCTCTCACATAGGAATCTTACAAAATCTGAGTCCTGGCCAATTTAGGGAGGTTTTTTTAAAAATTAATTAATTATTATTATTATTCTTTTTAGAGAAAATTTTCCTATAGGGCACATGCGCTCACTGGAGACACAGAGAGAGAAAGTGAGAAAACACCCTCCCCCCTCCCCCCTGAGGGTGGGGGATGGCCGCATCACAATCCCTTCTCCTTTATTCTTCTCTTCGGATTTTGGGTACACACACACACACACACACACACACACACACTCCTGGCCTGAGTTTCAAGCTGCTGGGTCCAGGACTTGAACCAGGTTGACCACCTGGAAGTCCAGTGCCTTAACCATTGCACCACCTGCTGGCCTCTTGTCCCCTATTTTTTTTTAAAGAAGTTTTTGCCTTAGGGTGTATGCTTGCTGGAGGGAGAGAGAGACAGTGAGAGGGAAAGTGAGAAATCACCCCCCAGGGGGAATGGCCACGCCACAATCCTTTCTCCATTCTCCTCCCAGGATCTTGGTTGGGCATGCATGCATATATGCCTGGCATGATTTTCATGCTACCAGATTTGGGGCTTGAACTGTGGCTGACCATGTGGGAGTCCAGTGACATAACTGCTGTGCCATCTGCTGCCCCATCCCCTGATTTTTAATGCAGTATTCTAATGAAGATTTTCTCCCATTCCTGAGAAATCTGTTCATTGAAATTATTTTAGAAAAAATATTTATTTGGATAATTATATAAATGTGGACTTGGCTATTTATTCTTTGGGATATAACCCAACAGATACTTCTTACTGAAGGTAACTATTGGGAGCTTTTTCAGGTTGATATGCCCTCCTATTTTTTTTGCTATAGCATGTGCGCACTGGAGAGGCAGAGGCACAAAGTAAGAAGTCAACCCCCCTCCCCCGGGGGAATGGCCACGAGCAATCCCTTCTCCTCCATCTTCTCTTGGGATTTTTGGGGCACGCACACATACATGCCCAGCATGAGGTTTAAGCAGCCGGGTCTGGGACTTGAACCACAGTCAGCTTTGTAGGAATCCCAGTAACATAACCATTACTCCATCTGCTGGTCCCATAGACATTCTGATTCATTGTATCTAGGACCCCCAGAATATATATGTATATTTCAGTATGCAGTCTGTTGTGTTATGGCTGGTTAATGTTAGGGAAACCATAGTACTAGTACCTATCTATTTTTTGACACATAAAAGAACTACTCACATTTGCTTCATAATTGAAGCAGCTTCCTGTCACCCACCGCTTACATATTAGCCCCATTTTCTCTAAGCAAGTGACAGAAATCAAATAGAGAATACTTTCCTTCTTGGGCTGAGAGTCAAGCTGGGATTCTGGTATCTCAGGTTGTTGGTCTCCTTTCTTTTGCTTTCTACACAACCTCTGGCATTGGCACAGCTGTCTGGCTCTATGACATCGACTCTGAAGGAAGAAAAGGACTGATATTAACCTCAGGTGTTTGGTATGCATTTGGTTTGTTTCCAAACCTCATGTCAGGTCATTTAAGGAAATCTCTTGTAAAGGAAAGCTACTGTTCTGCTGGATCTATCCTTCCTGGAGAATTTCCAAGCACGGCATGGGAAAGGAACTCACTCACATTAAATGAATACCTCCTATAGGCCAGGCACCTTCCACACAGAATCTCAATGAATTTACATCATCACCGTGAGAGACAAATATCTTGAGTCCCATTTTAAAGATGAGGCAACTGCAGAAGAAGTCAAACAGCTTTCCCAAAACCACTCAGCTATGGAATGTAAGTGCAGATCTATCTGAACTCCAAAGTCTGCTTTTCTCATTATGCCAAGCTGCCCCCAGAACACAAGGAAGTCTTTATAGATCAAGTGCGAGGACTGAACATACCAGCAAACTTACAGGGCATGGAACTTCAAAAATGACAAATACTGTAATGGCGACTCCACTCAACAACAGGGTGACAGCAATCAGAGATTTGACCACAATACTCCATTTCCTCCTCTTCTCTAGGTTCTCATCTGTTTCTGAAAGGAGAGGAATGAAAGAGGGAGGAAAGAGAATTTGAGAGAGGGAAGAAATAGACCCTTTGACTTGAAATTCTCCTGGCTCACAAGATTAACAGGGCAGCCTGACTCAGAGGCAGAGACTGGCTGAATTTCTAGTTCTGCCCAGGTCTAGGATGGGATTGAAATCATAGCTCTGTTCTCACCTCTTTTGTAATCTTTACTCATTGAGTCACCTTTGAAGGGATTTAGGCTTTCTATAATCAGGTGGGGCTAATTCTTGGAGGATAAAATGTTTGGGTGCATAAGGAGTTATATACTTACCTTTTTAATTATTATTTTAACCAGCCTTCTCAGAGTCCCTGTCCTTCTGTTTTAATATATTGTATGGGGCTAGAAAGTCACCTTTCCTGTGTTCCTCTTGGTTTTAGTGGGGTAAAGGAGGAACAGAGGTTGGGTACGCACATGCACCTGGCATGTTTTTCAAGCTGCCAAGTCTAGGACTCAAACTGCGTAGTTGATCATGTGGGATCCAGCCGCCTTAACTATTATGCCACTAGTTGGCTCTCACATAGGAATCTTACAAAATCTGAGTCCTGGCCAATTTAGGGAGGTTTTTTTAAAAATTAATTAATTATTATTATTATTCTTTTTAGAGAAAATTTTCCTATAGGGCACATGCGCTCACTGGAGACACAGAGAGAGAAAGTGAGAAAACACCCTCCCCCCTCCCCACTGAGGGTGGGGGATGGCCGCGTCACAATCCCTTCTCCTTTATTCTTCTCTTCGGATTTTGGGTACACACACACACACACACACACACACACACACACTCCTGGCCTGAGTTTCATGCCTCTGGATCCAGGACTCAAACTGCAGAGAGCCATGTAGGAATTCAGCGCCTTACTTATTAAACCACCTGCTGGATGGTCACCCTATAACCTCTCCTCCTCCATTTTTCTCCTTCCCTTTGGGGTTTTGGGCACAAGCACACATACATGCACACAGTGTGATTCTTAAGCCAGTAAGTCTGGAATTCGAACCACACAGCCAACCACATGGGATCCAGCACACCATGACCCTACGGAGGACTATTTTTAGAGAGCGAGCGAGAAAGCAAGCTGCCAGGTCTGGGACTCGAGCCGTGGTCGGGCATGTGAGAGTCTACTGCCCTTCACCACACCACCTGCTGACCCATAGGGAGAACTATTTTTAAAAACAATGAGAATAGGGACCAACAGGTGCTGTGGTGGCTAAAGGTGCTGGACTCCCACATAGTCAATCGTGGTTTGAGTCCTGGACCTGGCAGCTTGCTTTCTCACTTTCTCTCTCTCTCTGTCTCTCTCTTATTCTGTCCCTCTCTGGTCCAATATAAATAAAAAAGTAAAGTTAAAAAAAAAAGTGAGGATAAAAGCAGGCTCTTCGTTGACATCATTACTGTAATAATTGCTTAGTATTTTAATATCGTGCATGCAGTGGCTGGATTACCTACCACATGGTTATAATTTATGCTGTGCCCAAATTGGGCTACACAGTAAGCTAAGTTGTTTGTAAGTAAAAGATCATTGATGGTGTCAGACTAAAAACATTTCTAGGAACTTCTTTAAAGAGAAGATGCCTTTTTGTTTTCCCCATAAAAATAAAGGAATGATTAGGGCTAGCAGTTGGCATAGTGGTTGAGGCACTGAACTCCCACATGGCTGACTGTGGTTCGAGTCTCGGACCTGGTGGCTTGGTTTCTTAGTTTCCCCCTTTCTCTATGTGTCTCTTTGGTCAAATTAAGGTAAGTGAATGAATAAATACAAATTCAAATAATTCTTTTTAAAAAATGGAATGATTTTCTTTTCCTCATTTTTTTAATTATATGATTTCTTATTTATATTCAATCATTGGCCATCTTTATAGTGTACAGTATAGTTTTTCAAAGTATGCCTGCAGTACATGACAATCAATAAGGATATTACCATATACGTTATTTTCAGTAGAGAACTTTACAGTCTTGTGTCTGTTACGTGTTTCCTCTACCATCCACTCCCCTCCCTTAGAGACTCTGCTATTTACACTTACCGTTCCTACTGTCATATCTTTGGATCGTTCCATTTTTAACAGAGTCTCAACATTCCGTATATATTGACCAAGGGTATACAGCGTTTGTCTTTCAAAGTCTGGCTTATTTCACTTAACATTAAATCTTCTATTCAGCCACTTTGAGCCAAATGACAGTGTTTCATTTTTCCTTATGACTGAATAGTATTCCATAGTGTATACATACAACAATTTTTCTATCAACTCATCAGTTTTTGGGCATTTAGGTTGATTGCATGTCTTAGCCATTGTAAATAATGCTACAATAAACATGGAGAGGATTTTTGTTTGTTTGTTTTGGTCATAAGATGTGTGTGCTCACCAGAGAGAGATGGAGAGAGAGAAAGTGAGAAATCACCCCAGGGGGATGGCCATGCCACAATCTTCTCTCCTTCACTCTCCTCTCAGAATATTGGACACTCATGCACATATGCCTGGTGTGATTTTCAAGCCTCTGAGTCCAGGACTTGAACTGCAGTTGGCCATGTGTGAGTTCAGAACCTTAACCACTACGCCACCCACTGGCCTTGATTCTACCATCAACATGGAAGTACAAGTGTCCTTCCGACTGAGTGTTTTCCTACCCTTTGGATGAATAAAAAGGAATAGGATCATTATAGGGTCATATGGTAATACTATTTGTAGGTTTTTAAGGAGCCTGCATATTGTTTTCCTCAGTGGCTATACTAATTTACATTCCCACCAACAGCGTATGAGGGTTCACTTTTCACCACAGCCTCCCCAGCACTTGTTTGTTCTTTCTTTCTTTCTTTCTTTCTTTCTTTCTTTCTTTCTTTCTTTCTTTCTTTCTTCCTTTCTTTCTTTCTTTTTTGATCATAGCCATTCCAACTGGGAGTGATAGCTCATGGTTTTTGATCTGCAAGAAATAGAATGATTTGCTAATGTAAACTCTGTAACTATTTAACCTACAGGAAAATCCTGATATCCAGACTAGTGCTGGGCCTAAAAATATTTCTTTTTCTTTCTGTTCTTGTTTTATTCCTATTTATTGTGTTTTATTCCAGGGCTAGAAAAATTACCAATACTTGTAGTTTTTTCTCCTTTTGTAGTCCGAGGAGCTATGGAGGTGTTGGTGGTAGAAAAAGTCTCCAATGAAGCCTCCATCACTGGGTAGACCTTACATTGGGAGATCCCTGGCAAAACAGCTATAAAACAAGAAAGAAACAGTGAAAAGACAACTTCAGGAAAAAACTTTATCCTGCCTTTGATTTTACCTTACAAAACTCTAGTTTTACTCAGCTGATATTAAACTTCTAATTGTGGCCCCTTCTGTCCATAGGTTTAAGGTGTGGGTACAAAATAGTGCCAAGAATAAAAGAGTACAGAGATACTATTAAGAGATATAGATTAAATCTCCATGGGGCCTTTGACTAATGTGAGATCAGAGTGAATGAGTAGACCATATCTTATTTGCTTATCATTTTTAAGGCCATAAAATAATAAAGATGGAGGTTAAAAAGTGTCCCTTAAAACAAGGTGGCTCCAAAGTCCAAGGGAGAATGCGAAATACTATAATTTGCCTTCATGACTTTTGCAAGTCTGTCTAGTGGAGTCTAATTCAATTAGTGTGAGAGAGGACTGAGGAAAATAGGTGGAGCTGGAGGAAGGAGAAGCCACCCAGTTTCATATACTCCTCAATTTCATTCATTCAGCAAGCATTTAATGAGTATCTGTTGGGTCACCGGGAAAGTCATGACACATTTTTGCATTAAAAAACATAGAAAAATATGTCATGACTTTCCTGATGACCTAATATTATGTCCAGGCAGTGCTGCTTATTTTGTATATACCAGCTGGTTACCTTCCAGTAAGGGACCAAGCAAAGAGGTGGGAAGGGGAAACAAACATCAATGTAATAAACTTCATGGTATATTAAAAGGGGATAAGAGCTATTTAAAAACTTAAAAGCATATCAAGGTAAGAAAGTAGTCTAAGGGGTGCATATGGGCAGTGGTTGAGCAGCCCATAGTATAAGCTAGGTCTCACTGTGAAGGAGAGACTTGAGCCAAGATTTTAAAGAGGCACGGGGATTAGCCAAACAGATACTTGGGGGAACAGTAACAGGCGGAGGGAACAGCTAGCATAAAGACCCTATGGCAGTGTGTCTGGCATGTTACAGTATTAGAGGAGGAACAGGGAGGCCAGTGAGATGAGTGGAGTGAGCAAGGGGGCAATTGCAGGATAGGAGAATGTAGATGAAATTTAAGGTCTTGTAGGCCAGTTTAAGGATTTCTGTTTTTATTCTGATTGAAATCTAGGGCTCTGTTACAGGGTTTTAAGCAGAGGAATGACAAGATTAGTTTGTTTTTAAAGGATCCCTGGGCTGTTGTGTTAGGAATGGACTACAAAGCAGCAAGCCTAGAATCAGGGTTAGGAGGCTATTGCAGAAATCCACATGAGTGAAGATGTGATTCAAACCAGCAGTGGGAGTGGTGCAAAGCAGATGGATTCTGGCTATAGTCTGGAGCTAACTTCACTTGCCTTCACTTGACTGAACCCAATTCATACTGTCCCATTTTTAATGGTTTCATATCCTTGTTTATTAAAGTCTGTAGATTCTATTTGACTTTTCTAAAATACTCTTTCATGTTTCAATTAGTTTACTTAGAGGCTGGTGACCATGGTATTAGGCACTGTATATAAAATCATAGGACAAGAAGTAGTCCCTGATTTCAGTTTAACCAGGAAGATAGTGTTGTCAGAGATAGGCAGAGACAGACATAAGTTCAACAGGTTCAAAAGGAAAAACAAAGGAATTTTCTGCGCAGTGTCAATCAGTTCTCTGAAGTGATAACGTGTGTTTATGAGACAAATGAGATGAAGATAAATCTTACGGTGAACAAGCCATCTAAATTCTCTGAGTTTAGGTTTCCTTATCTGTAAGATGGTTATAATAAAGTAATAATGGGACTAACAGATGGTGTAATGGTTATGTCACTGGACGCCCATGTAGTTGACTATGGTATGAGTCCCAGACCAGTGGCTTAAAACTCACACTGGGGGCGTGTGTGTACATGCCCAAAATCCCAAGAGGAGAATGCAGGAGAAGGGATTGCAGCGTGGACATCCCCCATGAGGGGTAATTTCTCACTTTCTCTTTCTGTCTCTCCAGTGAGCACATGCATCCTATAGCAAAAATCTCTCAAAAATAAAAAAAAAAAAAAAAAAAAAAAAAAAAATGGGGGCCAGCAGGTGGCACAGTGGGTAAGGCACTGGACACTCCCACATGGCCAACTACAGTTCGAGTCCTGAACCTGGTGACTTGCTTTCTCACTTTCTCTCTCTCTTGTCAAATTTAAATAAATGAATAAGTAAATAAAATTCAATAATTATTTTTAAAAATTAAATAAATGAAAAAGTAATAGTTCGTCTACCTGGGGCCAGCAGATGGCGTGGTGCTTAAGGGCACTGTACTCCCACATGGTTAACAGTGGGTCAAGTCTCTGACCTGGTGGCTTGTTTTCTCACTTCCCTCTCTCTCTTTGTCACTCTGCCTCTCTCTGGGCAAAGTAAGATAAATCAATCAATCAATAAGTAAATGAAATTAAAAAAATAGTTGGTCTACCTATTTCACAGGGATATTGTAAAGTTAAAAAATAAATAAAAAGGAGAAAGCAGGTGTGAAGACACTTTGTAAGGTAATATTATTGAAAGAGGAGGGGCTGGCAGGTGGTGTGGTAGTTAAGGGTGCTGGATTCCCACATGGCTGACCATGGTTTGAGTTCTGGACCTGGTTTGAGTTCAAACTGTGTGGTTGAACATGTGGGATCCAGCTACCTTATCTACTAGGCAATAGGCCAGCCCTGAAATAATTTATTTTAATAGTGGATGTTAAGGGGCCAGTTATGTGGGAGTCCAGCAATGTAATCATATGCTATCTGCTGGTCCCCCAAAAAAGCATTATGTTTCAGAAGCCTCTTTATAAGTTGCTTGTTAGGAGTTCATCATTGTGGTTTCATAGAAATGTATATATTACCACTGTACCACTCTGTGGCCCCAAACTTTTGAGTTTTTGAGAGTGTATTTTTTCACACAAACTATCACTGGTGGTTCTTTTTTTGAGATATTTTTGCTATAGGGTGTGTAAGCTCGTTGGAGAGACAGAAAGCAAGAACTCTGGATAGCCACACCGCAATTCCTTCTCTATTCTTCTCTTGGGATTTTGGGCACACACACACACACATCCAGCGTGAGTTTTAAGCCACCGAGTCTGGGATTCAAACCACAGTTGACTACATGAGTGTGCAGTGACATAACTAATACACCGTCTGCTGGTCCCTCGCTGGTGGATTTTTAGTACATATAAATCAGATCACATCAGATCATGTGAGGATATGTAAGGTATCCTACTGGGCTACATCCTAAGAGCTATCCTCTATTTTATCATTTCTAGCCTAGTTAAAAAATTTTCCCCATCATTCTGCTTGTGAAGTCCCAGTTTCTCTAAAAGTATCAAGTTTTATTTTATTACTGCACAGCAATATAGCAGTAGCATCCAGGGATTGCCTGTATGAAGGAGAACTGCCTATTCCAGTCTATTGATTATTAACTACTTGACTAAAAGAATGGGTGAGGGAAGGAAAGAAGGGCAGAACAGAGAAACAAGGCTGAGGTCAAGAATCACCACTCAGCCGCTGTTGCGAAGCAGGCATTCTGACACAGTGTGGGAAGGAATATAATGTGGAATCCCCTCTGGACAGTAATTCAGCAATATCTATCAAGCCTTTGATTTAGTGATCCTGCTTGTTGGAATTTATCTTACTGATACATTGCAAGTATACAAGAGGAATGTAATTTACCTAATTGACAAATTGTAGGTATACAAAAGGAATGCATCATTGTATTTCAAGAAGTTGAACATGGGAACCAGCAGTTAGCGTAATGGCTATGTCGCTGGACTCCCACGTAGTCGACCGCGGGGGCTTAAAACTCACGGCAGGCGCGTGTGCGTGTGTGCCCAGGATCCCTAGAGGAGAATGGAGGAGAAGGGATTGTGGCGTGACCATCCCCCCTGGGGGGTGATTTCTCACTTTCTGTCTCTATGTCTCTCTCTGTCTCCAAAACGAGCACATGCGCTCTATAGCGAAAATCTCTCCAAAAAAAAAAGTTGGACATGACCAAAATATGCATCAATAGGAGACTATTAGACTTAGTTATAATATAGCCATATGATGGAATTCTGTACAGCTGTTAAAAAGAATGAGGGGGGGCCAGCAGGTAGCATGGTGGTTAAGGGCACTGGACTCCCATATGGCTGATATAGTTTGAGTCCCGGACCTGATGGCTGGCTTTCTTTCTTTCTTTCTTTCTTTCTTTCTTTCTTTTTTTTTTTTTTAAGAGGTTTTTGCG